CACCAGGTCTATCCATTGACTATTAGGGGGAACACCAGGTCTACCCATTGACTACTATTGAGAGGACACCAGGTCTACCCAAAGTCGCTACTTGGAAGACACCAGGTCTACCCCATATACATATATGTGGAGGACACCAGGTCTACCCGTTGATTAAGCCCAAATCTACTCTTAGTTCTATGGGACACCAGGTCTGCCCATTGACTGCTATGGGAGGGACACCAAGTCTATCCACAGACTAGGAAGGACATCTGGTCTGCCTATAGACTTACATAACAAAGACACCAGGTCGACCCACTATGATACTGGAGACACCAGGTCTATCCATACAATATTTATCAGGGACACCAAGTCTACCCATAGGCTACTGTTGTAGGGACACCAGGTCTACCCACAGACCACCATAGGATGGACAGCAGGTCTACCCATAGAATGTTATGGGAGGGACACCAAATCTACTCATAGATTTGTACTGGAAAGATACCAGGTCTACCCATTGATTTATACCAACCTACCAAAGAACTTTATGGAACACCTGGCCTGCCCATAGATCGCTATAGGAGGGAAATCAAGTCTACCCACAAATTGGTATGGGAAAGACACCAGGTCTATCCATAGAATAATTATGAGGGACACCAAGTCTACCCATAGGCTACTACAATATGTAGACCAGGTCTACTGATACACTACTATTGGAAGGACACCAAGTCTACCGACGCAAACTATAGGGTGGACACCAGGTCTACCCCATAGACTGCTACTAAGGGGACAACAGGTCTATCCGCTGACTGATATTGGGGGTACGCCAGATCTACCCATAGATTGCTATTGGGGGGGAACACCAGGTCTGCCCATACATTGTTATGGGCAGGACAACAAGTCTACCCACAAAAATTGTTATAGGAGGGACAACAGGTTTACCCATTGGCTATGCTACTAGGGAAACCAGGTCTACCCGTAGAATATCATGGGAAGCTTTGTATTTTGAGGACACCAGGTCTACCCACAGAATATGAGGGACACCAAATCCATTGCTGGAGAGATACCAGGTCTATCCATAGAATACTACAGGATGGATATCAGGTCTACCCACACAATGCTACGGGGGGCACCAGGTCTACCCATAGAAGGCTACAAGATGGATACCAAGTCTACCCTTAGAATGTTATGCGGGACACCACGTCTACCCACAGAATGTAATGGACACATGTACTATTGGAGACACCAGGTCTACCCATACAAAGCAACAGGATGGACATCAGGTCTACCCCTAGAATGTTATGGAAGCACCAGGTCTACCCATTGACTGCTTGGGTGGGACACCAGGTCTACCCATTGACTACTGGGGGTAACACCAGGTCTACCCATTGACTACTGGGGGGGAACACCAGGTCTACCCATTGACTGCTACTGGGGGGACACCAGGTCTACCCATTGACTACTGGGGGGGGAACACCAGGTCTACCCATTGACTCCTATTGGGGGGACACCAGGTCTACCCCTATAATGTTTTGGGGGACACCAGGTGTACCCACAGACTGCTCCTGGAGGGATACCAGGTCTACCCATTGACTGCTATAGGGGGAACACCAGGTCTACCCCTTTACTGCTATTGGAGGGGCACCAGGTCTACCCATTGATGCCTACTGGGGGTTTACCAGGTCTACCCATAGAATGCTATAGGATGGCCACCAGGTCTACCCATAGAATGTTATGCGGGACACCAGGTCTACCCATTGACTGCAATGGGGGGGACACACACACCAGGTCTACCCATATAATGCTACAGGATAGGCATCAGGTCTACCCCTAGGATGTTACGGGGGCACCAGGTCTACCCATAGACTAATATTGGGGAAACATCAGGTCTACCCATTGACTGTGGTTAGGGGGAACACCAGGTCTACCCATTGGCTGCTACTGGAGGGACATCAGGTCTACCCATTGACTGCTATTGCGGGACACCAGGTCTACCCATTGACAGCTATTGCGACGACACCAGGTCTACCCATTGACAACTATTGCGAGGACACCAGGTCTACCCATTGGCTGCTATGGGGGAGGACACCAGGTCTACCCATAGACCGCTATTGCGGGGACACCAGGTCTACCTATAGACAACTATTGCGAGGACACCAGGTCTACCCATTGACAGCTACTGGGGGGGGACACCAGGTCTACCCATTGACAGCTATTGCGGGGACACCAGGTCTACCCATTGACAGCTACTGGGGGGGGACACCAGGTCTACCCATTGACTGCTACTGGGGGGGGGACGACACCAGGTCTACCCATTGACTGCTATTGGGGGGACACCAGGTCTACCCATAGACTTCTATGAGAAGCAATTTCAGGGCACGCTGAACATTTTTGGGATATGATGAGGGAGTTTTGGGGAATCCCTGAGTGTTTTTGGGGTGTCCCAGGTGTTTGGAGGGGTCTGGGGGTGCAATCAAAGGTGTTGGGGGTGTCCCAAAAATTTTGGGTGGCATCTGAGGGGAGGGGG